AGAATGATGGTATGGCACTTTTGGCAGTGTTTATCTAAACTACAAAATTTCAAACACTACTCCTTGATACACATCAGCAGTGTCCTTATAACTTCGTCATAGTAATTGATTCTCATGTCCCTGTGATTGTACATGGGTATCCTCCAGTATACCTACCAAGACTAACGTTGTTCGTTTCTGTTGTGTACATTGCTAGCTACTACAATTCGAGACTACACCGGAGGAAATAGCGTTGAGGACATGCTTGAACACCAGGACAGCTTAGATGACGGAAGTAACGAAATCCCTTCATTGCCAGTAGACAACATTGACGTCGAGATGATGAACGCAACTGGTATCCCCAACATGCAATGTTTTGAGTATTACTCGTGTATATCGAATGTAGAGGAGAATGTCCCGCCAGGATCCCTAAAGAAAGGCTTCTACATAACCCCAGCGTTCATGAAGAAACAATGCAGGTTAAGTGAATATTCAAATGTTCACTTCTGTTCTCTTCCTTGAATTCCTCCGTTATTAGGAGAACCAGCGTGATTGAATACGTAGCTGTTGTTGTGTAGCGTTTGGATACATAGCTGTGGTTGTGTAGCGCGCTAGAATACGTAGTTGTGGTTGTGTATCGGGCTTGAATACGTAGCTGTTGTTGTGTATCGTGCTTGAATACGTAGTAGTGGTTGTGTAGCGCGCTAGGATACGTAGCTGTCCTGGTTTTGTGGCGTGCTTGGATATGTAGTTGTGGTTGTGTAGCGCGCTAGAATACGTAGTTGTGGTTGTGTAGCGCGCTAGGGTACGTAGCTGTTGTTGTGTAGCGTTTGGATACATAGCTGTAGTTGTGTAGCGTTTGGATACGTAGCTGTGGTTGTGTAGCGCGCTAGGATACGTAGCTGTGGTTGTGTAGCGTTTGGATACATAGCTGTGGTTGTGTAGCGTTTTGATACGTAGCTGTGGTTGCGTAGCGTGCTTGAATACGCAGCTGTAGTTGCGAAGCGTTCTTGAATACATAGTTGTGGTTGTGCAGCGCGCTAGGATACGTAGCTGTACTGGTTGTGTGGCGTGCTTGGGTACGTAGCTGTGGTTGTGTAGCGCGCTAGAATACGTAGTTGTGGTTGCGTAGCACGCTAGAATACGTATCTGTGGTTGTGTATAGTGCTTGGATACGTAGCTGTGGTTTTTTAGCGCGCTAGAATACGTAGTTTTGGTTGTGTAGCGCGCTAGGATACGTAGCTGTGGTTGTGTATCGTGCCTGAATACGAAGCTGTTGTTGTGTAGCGTTTGGATACATAGCTGTAGTTGTGTAGCGCGCTAGAATACGTAGTTGTGGTTGTGTATCTCGCTAGGATACGTAGCTGTGGTTGTGTATCGTGCTTGAATATGTAGCTGTTGTTGTGTAGCGTTTGGATACATAGCTGTAGTTGTGTAGCGGGCTAGAATACGTAGTTGTGGTTGTGTAGCCCGCTAGGATACGTAGTTGTGGTTGTGTATCGTGCCTGAATACGAAGCTGTTGTTGTGTAGCGTTTGGATACATAGCTGTAGTTGTGTAGCGCGCTAGGATACGTAGCTGTGGTTGTGTATCGTGCTTGAATACGTAGCTGTTGTTGTGTAGCGTTTGGATACATAGCTGTGGTTGTGTAGCGCGCTAGAATACATAGCTGTGGTTGTGTAGCGCGCTAGGATACGTAGTTGTGGTTGTGTATCGTGCTTGAATACGTAGCTGTTGTTGTGTAGCGTTTGGATACATATCTGTGGTTGTGTAGCGCGCTAGAATACGTAGTTGTGGTTGTGTAGCGCGCTAGGATACGTAGTTGTGGTTGTGTATCGTGCTTTAATACGTAGCTGTTGTTGTGTAGCGTTTGGATATATAGCTGTAGTTGTGTAGCGCGCTAGGATACGTAGCTGTCCTGGTTGTGTGGCGTGCTTGGAAACGTAGCTGTGTTTGTGTAGCGCGCTAGAATACGTAGTTTTGGTTGTGTAGCGCGCTATGATACGTAGCTGTTGTTGTGTAGCGTTTGGATACATAGCTGTAGTTGTATAGCGTTTGGATACATAGCTGTGGTTGTGTAGCGCGCTAGGATACGTAGCTGTGGTTGTGTAGCGTTTGGATACATAGCTGTGGTTGTGTAGCGTTTGGATACATAGCTGTTGTTGTGTAGCGCGCTAGGATACGTAGCTGTAGTTGTGTAGCGTGCTTGGCGGTGGTCTGCTTGTTATGGGTCTGTGTTTCCATTTATAATGCCATTCCACCCGAACACTACAGCACTGAAACACCCAAACCATATCATACCCTACACTAGACTTTTTACTGAGCAATACATGTCTTGTTCAAAGACACAATCAAATCCCACGGCCTCCGGGTATCGAGCCTATAACTATGTGGACAAAAGACTAACGCACTACCAACTGTGGTGTCGATTTTTTTTTTATTTATTTTTTTATTTTGCAAATAGTGGTGCTAGTGGTGTCAGTAAACAATAAAAATATGCGTTTTAATCAGATTGTTTTGAAACGTTTTTGAAAATACAGACGGACTGTAGATATGGACAACTAAGGATTGAATATTTCTTTGGCCGATTTTAATGGGTGATGAATTGAGTTGGTCTTGAGTAAAAAAAATAATGAACAGCGAAAGCAAGATTCATTTCATATATTTTAAAAAACTCATGCTTTTTTGATAATTGAAATTCCACATACCTGTAGTTTGATCCTGCTTCTGGAGCTTGGACAAGTCTACGTATTGACACAGTGTGAAACATATAGTCCATTATTGGAGGACTGTCATACAGTGATGTAGTGTAAGCGCATATACAATACAGAAAAGTTACCACATAATAGAACACAAAAACAGATTCTAAATGTCATAACTTTATTTGATTAAAACGTCAGTTTTAATAACATAATTTTACCGCGTCATCGCGGAAGGATAGCGTCTAGACGCGTTAAGTGGGATATGCATTCATACGCAGAGGGAAGTTAATTTTGCAAAGGAACGTCAACACATGTGTATGTTAAATACCAACACATTCCGCTCTATATGCTTTACCATTGAAATATGAAGGTTTATTGTTAAAACACATTTTACATTTTTTTTTGTCCAATTTCGGCTGTAGGGGTGAAACAGTCAAAACTGTTTTCCCGGTCAGAGCGAACTGTTACCCGGCGCGAATTCGATGCGCAGAAATCCCCCCTCGAGAGCCCCGTTCAAGCGTTTCGGTGACCGCGACTCAGTGTTGAAGCAATGGCAACATTGCATGCAGCATTGATACTAATATTTATTTGGTAATAAAACAATTGTTTCATGGTTATTTTGGGAACAGTCAAAACTATCATCCCTCGGTAGGGGGAATCCCTGTGGAACTGTTTGCCCTTGGCCTAGCGGCCTCGGGCAAACAGTTCCCCAGCAGGGCTTCCCCCTACCTCGGGATGATAGTTTTGACTGTTCCCCAAATAGCCATGAAACAATTGTATACTATTTTATTTATTTATTTCCATATCTAACTGAACAATCACAGAACAGTTTTGACTGTCAAATTAACCTCAGCGATCTCGGTGCCAATCCAACAATTTAACGTTTCTGGTAGACTGGATAACCCGCTCTTAGATACTTTTACATTATGTGATACTCATGATGAGTTTCACTTCATCCTGAAGTGTCCTATTTATGCAGATTTACGGGTGAGATACCCGAAGCCATATTATTTTAGTCGTCCCAGTGTATTTAAACTTGTTCAATCGCTCAGTGGTAATAATGTAAAAGATTTGTGTAATCTTGCTAAATATATAAGATTTGCTTTTAAAAGAAGCGCTCTCAGTCATTATAGTATTACCACATTCTTGTGTGTGTGTGTATGTGATACGATTACATACAATTATCATTCTCCTGTACATCATTACTCTGCTTAACCTCTTAATATGTATTAATATTGTGTGTTGTATCTTAAAAGTCGTAAGGCTTACAGAATAAACTAATTGAATTGAATTAATACTACGGCTGCCAACCCAGTCTACGTTTTCAGACGCACAGCCGTAATTGTGTTGTATGTAAAATGAGTACATATACAAATTGTAACATGTGAAGCTATCAAAACAATTGTGATGTTAATTTCTGCTTGATTTTTTAACTCGTTAATTATTTTTTTAATTAAAATTCCATGTTGCTATTGAATTTGACAGGAATACGAAGCGGATTTTAAACTGTTTCCTTGCTGGGGATTACTCGGATTGTCCCGTTGCGGTGGCGAGTTTCCCTACGCTCCTACGGCTGTACAATTACATGTGTGTAGAGCCAGGCAGAACAGGTATTGTTATAACACTACATCATTGGCTATATTAATGGGGTAATGTTGTAATAATAAGGTACCGATGTTATGAGAATGGTTTAATAATAAGGTAGCGAGGTTATATTAATGGTGTAATGATAAGGTAGCGTGGTTATATTAATGGTGTAATGATAAGGTAAGGAGGTTATATTAATGGTGTCATGATAAGGTAGCGAGGGTATATTTATGGTGTAATGATAATGTAGCGAGGTTATATTAATGGTGTAATGATAAGGTAGCGTGGTTATATTAATGGTGTAATGATAAGGTAAGGAGGTTATATTAATGGTGTCATGATAAGGTAGCGAGGTTATATTTATGGTGTAATGATAATGTAGCGAGGTTATATTAATGATGTAATGATAAGGTAGCGTGGTTATATTAATGGTGTAATGATAATGTAGCGAGGTTATATTAATGGTATTATGATACGGTAGCGAGGTTATTTTAATGGTGTCATGATAAGGTAGCGAGGTTATATTTATGGTGTAATGATAATGTAGCGAGGTTATATTAATGGTGTAATGATAAGGTAGCTAGGTTATATTAATGGTGTAATGATAAGGTAGCGAGCTTATATTAATGGTGTAATGATAAGGTAGCGAGCTTATATTAATGGTGTAATGATAAGGTAGCGAGGTTATATTAATGGTGTCATGATAAGGTAGCGTGGTTATATTAATGGTATAATGATAAGGTAGCGGGGTTATATTAATGGTGTCATGATAAGGTAGCGAGGTTATATTAATGATGTAATGATAAGGTAGCGAGATTATATTAATGGTGTCATGATATGGTAGCGAGGTTATATTAATGATATAATGATAAGGTAGCGGGGTTATATTAATGGAGTCATGATAAGGTAGCGTGGATATATTAATGGTGTCATGATATGGTAGCGAGGTTATATTTATGGTGTCATGATAATGTAGCGAGGTTATATTAATGATATAATGATAAGGTAGCGGGGTTATATTAATGGAGTCATGATAAGGTAGCGAGGTTATATTTATGGTGTCATGATAAGGTAGTGAGGTTATATTTAAGGTGTAATGATAATGCAGCGAGGTTATGTTAATGGTATTAATGGTCCTACAATACCGTAAACCAGAGTAATAATTGAACTGTGAAGTTATAAAATAAATTTATGAATAAACATATGCTTTTCAGATATCCCACTCCGAAAAGACGAAACCAGTATTTTCCTTTAATCTCGTGCGTTCGAGTTATCACCCCAAAGGAACACAACTTAGATAAAACAAGGACCGCTAATGTCGGCCTTTAATTCTCGTCCTTTTTCGAGTAGCAGTATCATATCTTTTCGCCCGAAAGGCGAGATTTCAAAAATCTAAATATTGGTTTATTCATGTTATTCTTTTCGGAGCAAATATACAAAACATCAAGAATTAAGATTCACTCAACATAGACTTTATAGACGATTATCGAATCAACGAAATGGCAAAACTAAGCCATCATAATTTAGAATTTTTATATTCACGTGCACGTTTGCTATACAAATCAATCAAATCATTTTCGATGCGAAACCTATCATTCCGTCAAATAAAAAAATAGGACAGCTTTGAATCAAACGCTCAAGTGACTCAGATTGATAAATTGACGATTTACACACAAATATCATAATAAAGGCCTCTTTTAAATTTAATAAAGGTTGTTTTTAATTCTACGGTGGCTGGTTTAGGACACACACATCTTTAGTCACCCCTAGGGAAACCCCAGTGGGGACTATTAATCTTGGTTTCAGTCCCAGATTTTGACCTCTGTTATCTTTGACTGTTTAAAAGTGTCTTGCTTCCGAGTATGAATCAGGCACCTTTGAGGTTCCCGAAGGGGTATACTGTCGTATTATAAATTGCTATTGACTGATTTAGATAGTTTATCTCTGATCAACGACTACCGTTAATATTTGCGTATAGTGCGCAGTTTTTAAGGGGAAAATGAAGTGTCAAGAAAGGGGTGTAAACGATACTCAAGAACAATCCAAAATCCGGCAGTTCTTGGTCGCGATCATTTCTCGTAATTTTTTCGAGGATTTTCGGAAATGTTTTGAAATAAGTTATGCTCGCAGCAATAAAACTGCTAAATTTCGTTGAAAAATCCCTGATTACATTGCCAATTTAACAATTAAGAAAAGCTGCAAGTTTAGGTCATATAATACTATAGAATCGAATAAATAAACTCGAGTAAATTAAGTAGGCTCAACTTTTCAGGACGTTACGTTGTGAATTGATAAATACCACGTATCGGGAAACACAACGAAGAATTGCATCGCATTTATTACTCTGTGGTTAAAATGTCGTTCTTGGGTGGTGAAAACATACTGAACTCTTCAATCTTGGCCGTGGGAATGTGTCAAACCGACATGGGTAAAGTTAGCAAGTTTGTGTAACGCAAGAGTCATGGTCGCGTGACACTATTAACCGTCAGGAATCTACAAGGTGAAATCCATGCGAATTGAACCGATAACGATAAAAGTTTGGGTTTGAAAATTAAATATCAACGGGTTCAAAACAGCCAAATACATTCCGATCTTTTCTTTTCGAAGGAGAATTGCTGAAATCACAATTGTTTGGTGTGCTTCATGTCTCGCGAATTAGGCTGTTGGCGGTCCTCGTCGAAGTGACTGCCTTTAAGAGTACACATTCTGCCGATATCGATGACCGATTCAGTCGGATTTGCAGACGATCAGAAAACTGCTTTTGGAAAAGTGTATTTCATAACAAAAAATAGTAGGAGATTTATCCGTATATAAGATCGAATCTTTTCTGAAACTTATTGTTGTGAAAACAACATCGCTATATATATATTCCAATTACCTGTTTTGCCCATGCCAGGTGACCGTGTCAGCGCGCGTATCTCCCCGTATTCGAGGTGTCGGTCAACGCTAACGTTATATTTGCGACATGCTTTCCTATTAATTCCCTGTGTTGCCATGGTTACCCGAACATCATGTATGTATTTACCCCTGGTAAGTGTTTACCATTTTGATTGACAGGTGGAGATATATCCGTTGGAGCTTGGTCAATGATTTATCGGAAAATGATCGAACAGAATGATGGGGCGACTTTTTTGTCATTCTGACATATTTCTAGTTTTTATTTAAGTCGAGCGCTCGACTTACAATCTCGAGCGCTCGACTTACGATCTAAATTTAAGGAGTATAAGTATAAATCATACATAATGACATGAAATCATGTTGTTTAATACTGGTTTTAATATTATTTTAGAGGTGATGTCAGTTCTTCCCTGTGCAAACATCTATGACGTCCAGAGGTCGTTCTACACGTCATACCTCACGTTTTCATCGGCAGTCAATACCATCATGAACTGGCCGAACGCCAAACCTTCGGACACCAGTCATATGTTTTGCTGGTAGGTACAACCGCTATATAACAGCTTTGTGTTCGGGTCCATCAACAAACTGTTTTTACATGTTAAATGAAGTAATCGAGTACATATGGAAAGGTAAGTGCCGACTGTGTCACTATTAATATCATTTATCATATACAAACACAATAATTAATTATATGGACGCTGATACGTCATAAGTGACCAATTTGTTACAGTAACCCGCATATTTCCTGATTTCTTACATTCGCTCTTAAACGAAAATGTGCGACATGTCACTGTATATGTGTATGCATCTAAAACAAACGAGTTCTACTACTTCCTCTTTCCTGGGGTTATCTCAGAAGGCTTCTGTCCGGATACTTATGAAACTTCACATAAGCATTGGTGTGAAGATGTGCGCAACACGTTTCATTTTCCTTTAGGTTGTCACACATGGTCGCAAGTGCTTCTGGTTGGTCGCATGTAAGAAACTGTACGATTTTTCTCAAATATGATCTCTTTAATGCAACTTCCGTTCAATTATTTAGCGAGATTGATGCCTTAAGTTGGTGTCTTATTTATTGAAATTTAGACATTGTCATGTTTTTCTCAACGTTGGTATAGAGGCATTTTATGGTTGGCTCTGATGAATCATTATCAAATATGGGGCGGTTTCGGGGCTTTACGTAACGGTATCCGGTACAATTGATACATGTTATTTCAGGGCGATGAAGAATTTCAAAGACGAAACAGGTGGTTTTATTGAGACCCACTGTTCCGCCCAGGATCGTGAAATATACGATAGAGTCGTAGACATCTCCGCGGAACCGTTTACAAGACAGTACAACTGTTATCCACAGGGAAACGACGACGGCCACTGAAACATCATAATACAACATCGACGGATTATCCCCCTTTGTTTTATATGGATAATCTCCCTTCGTTGCTGACAATTTTTTTTACCATACATTATAGTTTTTGACTATTTCTGGAGAATATCGTATTTGCGTCCTTCTTAAAATATGCATTATAATTAAAAGTTTTACTTTTAGTTATCTCATCCAAATTAGATATAATAGGCAAGACCATCAAATATTATTCCGAAACTATTGAAAATTACAAAATAATTGTAAGTGTGCCAAAAATCTTGTTAAAAAAACCCCATAAATTATTTTAAAAATTGGAAAACTATGATTTTTCTATTCGTCTTTATAGATAAAAATTCAAAATCAATAAGTATTTGTAAACCCGATTTGTGATCTGTAACACACTATCACAAGTGGAGCTAAACACGAACATACCAAAATGAACATCTTCAACTGGCAAAACGAAAGTCTTCTACTACTATTACGAAGGTAGTGTGTGTTTTTTTTTTGGAAAGATGAATCATTAAAGAACTATAGTAAACCCTGCTTAAAAGGGGTCCTGATTAGACTTGACTTGGTTTTAATATTATTAATTATTATTGATTTGGTAATAATAAATCAGATATGAAGGGATGTGAAATCAAGTGAGAATTTAACAGGTTAGTCATGCTATTATGATCATATACTAGGCTTACCCGGAGACGCATAAAACCTTGAAATATACTTTCAGGCCTGGCTAATAACTGTAATCTGCAATCGGACCACGCATGACGATTTCACTGCATGTTACAGACGTTTGTGAAGGGGCTAGTGGCTTTCGGTCAGTAAATCAAGTCTTGGCCGCAACAAATAATCGGACAAGAGAAAATTTATATTGACATTTTATTAAATCATTTTTCCCGCGCAACACTGCTGATTGGGAGAACCTCCCAGAAGATCTCATCAAAACATCTGACTTCAAAACCTTCAAAACCTATTATCATCAATTTAAGTCCCAAACTTACTCCTCCAACTCTTAAATGATACTCGGAATCTAGGTCTACAGTGAAGTGGTAAGTGATCCGATTGTCGTAATTGTTTTAAGAGTTGTCTCCCTTGCATGTATTTTTTTCTCAACATTTTAGAACAATTTCGAATTAGCTTGAATGCTTTCAGTGTTATATTTTTTACCTTTCAAATATGTCATAGATTAATTGATATTGTCTTAAATTACACTCATAACTACTTGTTACCAGGTTCCATAGCTTGGATGGAATTCGTTTTGAAAGATGTGTTGTGAAGTCATGAAATATTGTGTACATAATATGACTTTATTATATTTTGCTATATCATTCTCACTTTCATGAGTCTGTTTGCTATAATATCTGTGGATTTTCTGTAAGTTTTGATGTTGGTCTATACAGGTCTATTGCCTCTCGATGTTTTGAGAGATACGAAAGTATATTCTTTCTAAGAAATATATTACATAAACCAATGTCTCTTATCAACCTACATTTTATGCACATTTTGATTTTTTTATGATTAAGCATTTGCTGAGGTTTAAAATAAAAAAAACGCATGAACTAAAACATGTTCCTTGTTAGTTTATTGAAACACCAACGCTCGACCTCAAATATCATTAGAAATGTCTCCATCATATTGAAATGAAAGAAAATATAGGAAAAAGAAAAATCATAACACACTCAAAAATTGATCTGAATTTGACCTGAAATTGAAATGAAAATTTCACCTGAATTCACATGAACTTTTTTTCCAGGTCGATTAAACTTGAAATTGACATGAAAATCACCTGAAAAATTTCCATGAGAAGTTGACCTAAATTTAACCTGAACTTGATCTGAACTGAAGGCCAATTTCAGGTCAGGATTTTTTTCATGTCAAGTTTACATCAAGAAATTTTGCCGGTGTACCAACCTAAACTTTGTCCGAGTAGAAACATTAGAATTAGAGACATTACCTCCGTCTTTCAATTGTTGCAGGGATTCGACAAGGACCTTTTCAAAATTTTGACCGTGCCATTTGAACATATTTGAAGATTTATTATCAGTACAGTCAGATGAACTTTCAGAAAACATATTGGCCGTTAATCAGAAACCAAGGGGTGAAACTGACAACGGCTTGTTCAACCAACATTTAGTGACGGGTGAAATGTAACCATTCATTTCAACCGATGAAAAAAAAACCGCATTTCTTTCAGATGAGATTGTCACTTTTGAATTTATTGTTCTTCATTCAATATGAACATTCGCGTTTGTTGTTGCTGTTTTAATTGATATTTCAAATGTGCATACATTATATTCTATTTAGTAAAGTAAGCTATATTAGTTTGTTATGAGAATTTGTCTCACTTAGACAAGTACTTTCAACCGAGGCAACGCCCGATGGCGAGATTATATACCTGTCGAGTGGGGACAAATCCTCACGTCAAACTAACATAGCTTACTGTACTGAATACACATTTAAACCGTTTCCATTGGGTTTTTTCAGATAGAAACTCTTAAACTGAAATATGTTTCCTCCACATAGAATTTATCAATTCATAAATGTTCCCGTCAAATATTAAACGCTACGCTGTAAATACGTCTCTTGGACATATAAAACTCCTGCGATAAAATATGTCTCTTTGACATAGAAACTTTTGCATTGAACTATGTCTCTTCTATAAACAGAGGATCTCACATGAGTGTCCATTTCATATTGTATGTATTAAACTCATTCAATTATTTGATATGACATAAGCCTAAAAACATTTCAAATTCCTTTAATAGCGAAAACGTTAATATGTATCAGTTCATAGAGTTCATAGTTTTGACCAATCGCAGCACCTTTCGGTTTTATTACACGTGTGCATTACCATATTAATGACATGGCCGTATGATATAGTAAAATGGGTCAGTTATGTGATAAAATAGCTTCTATTGAAATATGACTTGGACACAAAACTTCTACATCTGAAGAAATCTTTTCCACTTTGCATTGAAAGTTTTCTTCGAAATAGAAATTCCGACATTGAAATATCCAGGTATACTTACAACCTCCTACACCGAAACGTTTCTATCACATAGAAACCTCTACACTTTAATAGGTCAGCGTTGAAAGTTTGATTTTACAAGCCTTGTTTATTATCTCCTTGTATTACAGACATCTTTTGAAATGAAGAAATTGCTTCAGAGACAGCAATATGTGGGAGCGACACCAAAATAATGTACACTCCATAATCGCCCAGTACGAGACCAGGGCCCGGGTGCTCATAGGTTGGTTAGTGTGGTTAAGGACATTTAAAACATTCTAAAAAACATGAACATCTAACATAATTTCACTGCTATAGATTTGTTGAGAGAAAATTAAGATTAATGTGGATTTTTTGGAGATATATTTTGCGTTGAAAGTCTTGTTTTCTTATTGACTACAATTTGAATTTTTCACTAACTGCTGGAAAGAGTTAGAGCTAACCAACCTTTGAACAAGCAGGTTCTAAGTGTAAAAATTCAGTGGGGCTAGACCGAGATTCGAACCCATGACTTAAAATTGATATAAAACAGTTATGTCCAAACGCGAGTCAAGGGGAGGTTACTGTAGATACTAAATGGATACCATACCAAAGTAATATTCGAGTTATTTTTAACAGTGTGTCGTACAATCTCGGAGGCAATATACATGCAAGTTCCAAGCCCTATATTTTTCCGAAAAGATTGAATCTTAATTACGATGGGACTTAGAATTTCGGAAATTAGTGCAATTCAACATGGTCCTACTTTTAAAGATTACGAAAGAAAAGAACGAGCAATGTGAAGGCTAGGTGTTTTTAATGACAGCCACCATTATTTAAGAAATTAATTAATTATTTTGTGTTATGGAAGAAGATATTAACGATGTAATAAAAGATGAAGGCCGGAGAGATACGTGGAAATTTGATATTGACATCGCAATAGACAACGGGAAAACATTTGTCAGTAACAAGCCTCTGCACCGTAAAACTTTAGTAAGCTTTGTTCTATCGCCAATTGTTCATATTTACACACAGGGGTTATTGGAACAGACTGTACTTATTGTGCCAATGTTGCACGCGCGTGTTGTTATAAGACATGACCAATGAAAACTATCGTTACAACACGGAATCGTAAGAATAATAACACATCTCGTACTATCTTTCTGATGTACTTTTTTATGAGATATTTTATCTTTTTCAATATATGGAATCCAAGAAGCTACCAGAAAGCAACTTTATTTAAACATTTTTTATTGTCGAAATATACCAACGATATCCATGCAAAAAGATACGGGTATCTTGCCCGTGTTTTTCTGTCTAAACTTCTAGTTATTAGTAGACAGAAGATGCGGACGACCCGTATAGACTTTAGTAGAGCATTATTTATAGCATTGCCCCACTCCTGTGTGTGGTAAAATTAGCCACGTCAGTGATTGGCATGAGATCGATTGTTGATGTACCGTTGCCATATTGCCCGATAGCTAGATCGCCGTCCAGCGCACAGGGGCACGCAACTACTAATAATTTTGATCTTGTTAGACTTTCGGTATACGTATCCAGCGACTAAAATTCTTACAAGATCAATATTAATAGAAGTTGCGTGCCCCTGTTTCCAGCGATGGTTTCGTGGGGTATCTAAACATCTAAACCGCAGATGTGAATTAGTTCCTTTAAGCATTTTATAAGAAACCACCTTTTCGCCTACAGACAATGTCATTAAAAAGAATTTTAAGGAACTGCAGAGGTCGTGAACTCATGTCCTTTATGCTGCAAATTCTACAATTTGATAAAGTTGCTATCCAGTAATTCTGAATTAATAACATAAAAATGAGAGCCTTTAATTGGCCGAAAGGCCGGCGAGGTAAAACTGAATATCGACAGGTGGATATTCACATGCATGATGACGTCACGAAAGAGCAAGGTTTGGAGGCCAAATGCCAATATTTTTTTCAAAGATCAGCCCTAGTTTTTCATTCATTTGGTGTAAATATTCGTGAAAAAAACACTAGGGCTGATTTCTGAAAAAAATATTTGCACCAAATGAAGGTTATCTGATAAACAGAATCTAATATATGTAACTTTCAAAAGTACATACAATGTATGTAGTTCGCCAGAGTATTGCTAAACATATCTCGTATGACCAGATACTCATGATGTCAGATTATCAAAGTAATTTACATTAGAATATTAACTCGCTTTGATATAAATCATACATAAATTACCACTATAAGGATATGCCCTATATCTAACGTATTGGTGATGGAGCTCTGTGAACTTTCCGATGCATCTGGGGCGAATTACACGTGTATATTCTAAATATTGTCTCTGATGGTCTACAAAGGTGAATATTCTAAATATTGTCTCTGATGGTCTACTATGTAGGCGCGAGATACCATCACACGGCATGTGTACCGATGTCCGTTTATCTTCTCACAAATTTCCACTCTTGACCAGTATACCTTTATCTTCATACACATTTTCCTCGAAAACATCTTAATGTCCGAATTAATCAATCACAATTGTCCGGAAATGTTGCTATATTTACTGCGATCCCAGGCTCGGCAGTTTGTCTCAGCGCATCTTAAATCTAAGTTGCGGACGGTAAATATAGATACATAAGTCGTGACTAAAATAGCGCGTACCAAATGGTAACACCTGTCGATTTTGAGTGGTATTGGTGTATGACAAATTCGATCTATAGCCTGTACCAGTGTCTAAAATATTCTTTAAAAAAAATCGATAAAAATGAAACATCTCTTAGCAAGGTTCTGATAATTCATTTCAAAAGAAATATTCCTGATTAGTATTAAGGCTCCAGTGAGCTCGACCACTGTTGAAATGAATTAATGGACTCGGTAACATGCTGCGTATGTAGGTATAGATCCTTAGAACAGTAGTCTTGTTCAATTAAAAACAAAACAAAATACAAAGTCAATGAACGTTCAATTTGTGCTGGTTATGACCACAGGTAAGTCTCGTCTGATCACAGGCAAGTCTCGTCTGACCACAGGTAAGTCTCGTCTGACCACAGGCAAGTCTCGTCTGGCCACAGGTAAGTCTCGTCTGACCACAGACAAGTCTCGTCTGTCAATGCAACTATAATACAACAAGGTGATCAACTCGATCGTCCTATTAAAAATCCCTGTTCCAGAAATAAATTCTAGTACGATTTGGTCCATTCAAAATGTTCAGCTGGGAGCAGTCTAGATCGAAAGATGAACGGATTTCTTCCATTTTAGGTATGAATTACTTTATACATGTACGTGCCTGATAACTTCCTGTGTTCTTCGGACACTACATGTATGCTTACGTAAGTCAGCGTGACCTCTTGAATTTCGAGGATGGACGCTGAGGATAACACACGGCATGCAAGTAATTCAGTCCATAGCCCGAGTTTAGAGTTTAGTGTGTTTAAGAGTTAATAAAAAAATGTTAGTTTTGAAGCCAGTCTCACCGGACGGAAAGAGGAGAGAAAATGTCGGATTATTCAAACCTCTACTCACATCAAACAATTTTGATACTTATAGCAACTCAAATAATCAGGCGTTTCTGATCAAATTTCTAAAAATGAAAATATACACAAAAAATTAAATCAATACACTTACCGTATCATTGTTTCTTTTTATATGTGGAATCGGTAATTTTAAACTCAAACTTATTAACGCCTACCGTAAACAGATTATCCATGGTTAAAAACACCACTGTGAATGTCAGATGCAGTCTTTTTTAATAAGTAAAGGACTTGGGTTCCACACCCCGCGTCAACCTGGGACGGGAGAAGGCGGATGACGGAGGTAGCGAATGAAGCCAAGACCACGAGATTTTCCTCCCCTGGCCCTTTATATTTTCATTGAAAAAAAAAATCAAATTTCATGTCATCCGTGGAACATTGAAGTTATCATAAAATATGCAAAGTAAAACTGAACTTAGCTCTTTGTGGTCAAAAAAGGTTTCTCTTAAACTGGATCGGGCTTGATCCGTCAATATAAACTACACCTGTTACAATAAGTTTGCGTTCTCTATGACGTCATTGATATTCTTCATTATGTCGCCATATATGGAATGTAATTATGACGTCAATATTGATGTGTTCACAACCAGTTTGCTGTTGCGCGATATTTTCCTGCGGTTTTTATCAAGAAGAAGTTTACCAAGAAAATCAACACCTAACATCAACTATGGAAGGTGAGTTGAGTTGATGCCAGTAATTTATTTATATATTATATAACTGTTTTATTGTATTACTCCTTAAATCTAGCCATGTTCTGGGCATTTTGTCGCCTACGATCCAATTATCGTTAAAATTTTTTACTGATTTCTTAGTAGAGCGGGAAGTTATTGTGCGTTTAATTTTCTTCTTTTTATTTTTATCATGGAGAGGTCTTACAAAACACTGTGGTATATTATTTGAAAACAAAACCTCAAATGTCCAATGGGAGGGTTAATTAAAAGAAAAGCGAATTCACGGCGTTTCCTCTTAAAGCGACACGTTTACGAAGATTTTAATTTGGAATTGGATCAGAACCGTTATATATATCTTGTTTGGTTGTGGCAGAGTAAAACCTTCGCTACGGACATGTGGATCCGCGATTTTCTTTTGTTTCCTTTAGAATAAGGAATCAGGTGATGTAATAACTCAAAGTGTGATGTATCATATGAACGTGACAAGTATTTTTGATCTATTTGAAGCTGAATTACTTGAGAGATCATGCTACGTCAAACTGAAACAGATAGCACCAGACCCACAGACCGGTTTAACTACAGTAAGTACTTAAGGGTATATGCTACCTTACTGTAACATGCATCTTCTGTACAAGAGAGTTCCACGTGACATTAGTTAAACACTTTGTAAACCATCTTTATAAATGATTTGGACATCATATTCATAGGGATGTTTGAAACGTACAGGACATTGTTGTTTGTAAAATTTTGTTAAATGTAGAATGTGATCTCCAGGTGTAATCGTCCATCCTGCTCCGGCCACAAGAGATGACCTGATGATCTCCGCATGGCTAAGATATCTTCCCTATTCCCAATGTAAGGATATCCGGGATGATTTGCATCTAAAATTAAAAACCTGTCGTCGTTCTTGTGAACACTTCTAGGGAGTCCGGATAAAGAAGTTCTACTATGTTATACTTTAAATCTGTTAAGCTAAATTTTGGTTCTAATGTTTTGATTTGTTTAGAAGATCAATTAAAACTTAACATTCGCATGTTCAAAATGAAAATCCTTTTTAAATGTTCTTAACATGTACACTGACACATAAAGAGATACATTGATTTAACGGGAAATGACCTCCCTCTTACGATTTTGAGTTATTATTATCATTATTTACTTGCAGATTATTTGGAAAGATTAAGCTTCATCAAACTCAAACCTATTGCACCAAACCCACAGGGCGACTTCAACCACAGTAAGTGATATACACCAAACCCACAGGGCGACTTCAACCACAGTAAGTGATATACACCAAACCCACAGGGCGACTTCAACCACAGTAAGTGATATACACCAAACCCACAGGGCGACTTCAACCACAGTAAGTGACATAAAACTTAATAAGAGAGATCCTCCATGTTTTAAAGACAAACACAGAAAGTAACGAACGTCATTGGGGTGCTTCCGACATAAATTTCTAACAGGGTTAATGACAACTTTTCAGGGGCCATTGTCCACCCTCCTCCGGCCACTAGAGATGACATGAAGACCCCAGCATGGTCAAGATATCTTCCGGATTTACCAAGTAAGAAATTATATTGAGAATCATACGTGTCCTTTACATTCCAGATGGTCGAAACATGCTGAATTTTTGTTTAATGTCAAACAAGTTTTAAAAACAAATTCATTGATATGGCAGCAACTCCCACGTTCTTACATACACATTTGATTTGCCGACCAACAGTATTCTGTTTGAAATAAATCAATGTTTTAATACGATATCAGTTACTAACATCAGACCATACACTAGTCCGAATTATTTTGACGTTTTATCGATTTTTTTCATATGGGTCTGTCGTCGATTAACGTCAGAACTCCGGCCCTCTATAATATGCGGGAAATATGCGACCCGCGCCCGGAGCGCACTTCAAACTGATATTTTAGGAACAAATCGTCACTTTCACACACATGTCGCACATGGATCGAAAGTACCACTTAAAAATAATTTAACCACAAAACACCGATTATTGAATCATTATGGTCCATTATGTTCCTGTGTAAGTACGGTATATATACTTTCCCTGTGTATGGTACTCTACAGTCTACAGTCTACTTTACCGTTATACCCTTAATTCTATAATCATCGTTTCAATGATGATTATAGAATTCGTCCTTTCAGGCTTTCTCTAACAAATTCATTTTTTATACCTTCAACTCTTCGCGGTTGGAATTCATTGGACCTTTCAGTACGATCATTGCCCTCATTACATTCTTTTAAAAACTCATTAACTTCAAATATACAATCTCCTCCACCAATTTACTTAGGTTTCGGAGAACGTAAATTGAACATTTTTCATACTAAACTTAGACATCAGTGTAATCCACTTAACTATGATCTTTTTAGAGTAAATCTGGTCGATAGTCCAGTTTGTTATTGTGGCCATCCCTGTGAAAATGCCTTTCACTTTTTTTGTGATTGCTTACTTTTTAACAACGAAAGACATACCCTGCTCCTAAATTTGAATGCCTTGCATGTTGATTTTAATTTAGAACTACTTTTGTTTGAATATAGTCAACTTTCGGTAGAAAACAACATAAGTATCTTCAGACATGTGCATCATTACATCAAATCCAGCAATAGGTTTTGATAGTAATAATTAATTTTCTATTCTTATTTAAGTTGTTATATGTGTTTATGAAATTGTATTTCATTATTTTGCCTGATTTATTTGTTACATTGATTCTGTTCGTTTTGAAAGTACTCTACCAGGTTGCATGTCATGAAATCTGTATAATTTATAATTGATTCAAATGCGGATCAATTTCTCAGTTTCCAAGTTTAATTTTCTAGGTAACACCCCTCCCCTCCATCACTCCCACCCCCTCCCACCCCACAGTTCCTTCCTTCCTCAACCTATCTTTTCCCTTTCCCCAAAAACATATACACTTTTTTTACAATATGTATTGAGGAGAGGACTCTATAAAGTTGTAATAACTTGTTGTCCGATCCATTTGTATATTTGTACAATAAAATATGTTTAAACTAAACTCTACAGTCCCATCTCGAGCACACAACATGTCTCTCCTTATACTCCTGTTAGCGCTTATTGGAGGCAGTATCACATGCAGTATGGAAGATTTATTTCATCGATAACTTGTCTTTTTAAAAAGAAATAAAATACGAGGTGAATGTGAAACTCACAGGAAATGTAAAATATGCCCATCATGATTTTAAAATTCCATTTTATCATTACAGCTTCAAACATTATCCGAAAACAAAATGTCAAAACTTTCAACGATCGTGCATGTTAAATAATTTACTCGTCAACATATTAAAAGCTAAAATTATTCTTTTTCATCCTGCTTAGCATATATATGATAGATTGTAAATATCAAAGTACCACTTAAAAATAATTTAACCACAAAACACCGATTATTGAATCATTATGGTCCATTATGTTCCTGTGTAAGTACGGTATATATACTTTCCCTGTGTATGGTACTCTACAGTCCCATCTCGAGCACACAACATGTCTCCCCTTATACTCCTGTTAGCGCTTATTGGAGGATGCGTTACAGGTAAGATATGAATAATTTTAAACAACTTTATATCAATTTAATACCAGTATATGAAGATTCAAAATGTTATTTGCTGGGGGTTTTCTTTTGAAATTTGGGCTCTAAATGCTGGCGTGCACAGATAAAATACTGGGTTTACGGTTATTTTAGCGACATATTTGTTTCCTTGTATTCAATACAAAGGCTGTGCGATTGATGTTTCGATCAGACCATTTTTATTGTTATGTTATGTGTCTTTTCTGATGTCCTTAAATACAGTTTGTCACAAGTACCCCTACTTACCTTCTAGGCCGATATTAATGAAACGTGTGTTCGCATCACCATTACACTAGCCAAAGAGTCAAAAGGGCTCTATTTTGAGGAGTTGATGGTCCGGCTCTAGTGACGTTTGTTTGACTTTTGTTTCAGTAACAACATCCAAAAACCTTAATATTTTTTGTCGAATGCAAAGAAACAATACGATTTTTATCATGACAGCATAATTTACACAAAGGGGTAGGACATAGAAACATATGGTAAACGTCTCTGGGTAGGGGTAGGTCTATCCTCTCTGGGTAGGGGTAGGGGTAGGTCCATCCTCTCTGGGTAGGGGCAGGTCTATCCTCTCTGGGTAGGGGTAGGTCTATCCTCTCTGGGAAGGGGTAGGGGCAGGTCCATCCTCTCTGGGTAGGGGTAGAGGTAGGTCCATCCTCTCTGGGTAGGGGCAGGTCTATCCTCTCTGGGTAGGAGTAGGGGTAGGTCCATCCTCTCTGGGAAGGGGTAGGTCCATCCTCTCTGGGTAGGGGTAGGTCAATCCTCTCTGGGTAGGGGTAGGTCCATCCGCTCTGGGTAGGGGCAGGTCTATCCTCTCTGGGTAGGGGCAGGTCTATCCTGTCTGGGTAGGTGTAGGGGTAGGTCCATCCTGTCTGGGTAGGGGTAGGTCCATCCTCTCTGGTTAGGGGTAGGTCCATCCTCTCTGGGAAGGGGCATGTCCATCCTCTCTGGGAAGGGGTAGGTCCATACTCTCTGGGAAGGGGTAGGTCCATCCTCTCTGGGTAGGGGTAGGTCAATCCTCTCTGGGTAGGTGTAGGTCCATCCTCTCTGGGTTGGGGTAGGTCTATCCTCTCTGGGTAGTGGTAGGTCCATCCTCTCTGGTTAGGGGTAGGTCCATCCTCTCTGAGTAGGGGTAGGTCAATCCTCTCTTGGTAGGGGTAGGTCCATCCTCTCTTGGTAGGGGTAGGGGTAGGGGTAGGGGTAGGGGTAGGTCCATCCTCGATATCCAGGAGTCACGCTCACCTACGCTGTCTACACGTGTAGAGAGCGATGGTGTAGGTCAGATGATTTATTTTCTATTTCAAAATACATTATGTATCTAACACTAGTTTTATATGATTAGTAAATACAAATTTTGGTATATAATAATGGTTTGTTTTATATCTATGTATATGTGTTTGATGGTATGTTTCATATCTATGTATATGTGTTTACTGGTATGTTTCATATCTATGTATATGTGTTTAATTGTATGTTTTATATCTATGTATATGTGTTCAATGTTATGTTTTATATCTATATCTATATGAATTTCTATCTTATTCTATAGTTTTGTAACCATTCTGACTTTTCTAGAGTTTTGTACCTTTCCGACTTTTTTTTATAGTTTTGTAACCTTTCTAAATTTTCTATAGTTTTGTACCATTCTGAATTTCTATAGTTTGTACCCATTCTGACTTTTCTATAGTTTTGTACTCATTTTGACTTTTTGATAGTTTTGTACTCATTATGACTTTTCTATAGTTTTGGTACTCATTTTGACTTTTCTATAGTTTTGTACCCATTCTGACTTTTCTATAGTTTTGTACCCATTGTGACTTTTCGATAGTTTTGTGCCCATTCTGACTTTTCAATAGTTTTGTACCCATTCTGACTTTTCTATAGTTTTGTACTCATTCTGACTTTTCTATAGTTTTGTACCAATTTTGACTTTTCTATAGTTTTGTGCCTATTCTGACTTTTCTATAGTTTTGTACTCATTCTGACTTTTCTATAGTTTTGTACCCATTCTGACTTTTCTATAGTTTTGTACTCATTCTGACTTTTCAATAGTTTTGTACCCATT